TGACACCCCCAGCGAAGAGAGGCCCCGTGTCCCATTCTCTGAGCCAGCCCATCCCGGCCAGGAGCCAGATCAGGCCCGGCGCCCCCCAGCGGAGAGAGGCTCCATGTCCCATTCCTCACCCCCCAAGCCACCCAGTCCCCACCTGGGAGCCGGATCAGGCCTGACACCCCCAGCGAAGAGAGGCCCCGTGTCCCATTCCTCACCCCCCAAGCCACCCAGTCCCCACCTGGGAGCCGGATCAGGCCTGACACCCCCAGCGAAGAGAGGCCCCGTGTCCCATTCTCTGAGCCAGCCCATCCCGGCCAGGAGCCAGATCAGGCCCGGCGCCCCCCAGCGGAGAGAGGCTCCATGTCCCATTCCTCACCCCCAAGCCACCCAGTCCTCACCTGGGAGCCAGATCAGGCCTGACACCCCCAGTGGAGAGAGGCCCCGTGTCCATGCCCTCCCCAGCACAGCCTCTCCAAGCTGGGATGCAAACTTACCTGCAATTTCAAGAAGCCGCACATCATCTGCTGGGCCATGCAGTAGGGCTGGGCAGCTAGGCGACAGCACATGCTGCCATAGAGGGGCAGCCAGAAGGAACTCTCCTCTGAGGGGGAGAGACGGGGCGTCACCGGGGTTACGCGGGGGTCTCCGGGTGCAGCGGGGGCCAAGCGGACAGCAGAACGCTCTGCAGGTATCACCAGCCCTGCCAACCCCATGCCCGGCCTCCCTGCTCCTCCGCCCATCCCTGCCCCTTACCATTGCTGGTGATGGCCAAGTCGTGGGTGCGGAAGCTGTCCTGAACCTCGGCCAGGGAGAGCACGGTGTGGGCCAGCAGGTGGTACTTGGGGCCCCTGAAAGGGGGGAGAGAGGGTTAGGGTCCAGCGGGCCCCGGGGCGCACGGCAATGCAAGGGCGACGGGTACTCACACCACGCTGGGGGCCGGCAGCAGGAGGGGGCTGCTCCCCCCATTACTCACGGGGCTCCCCGGGGCCCCGTCCAACGCCGCGCGCAGCCGCTTCCCGGAGGAGCGTCCCAGCGAGCTGCTCAGTTTGCTGGCCAGCTTCTTCGGGGTGCTACCGAGCGCAGAGTCCTCCTCCAACCCCGCGCTGTACAGCTCCACCTTCAGCTCGAAGTCCGGGCCCGCCTCCGTGCTGCCGGGGAGAGAGCCATCACAGCCCGGCTACCGCGGGGGAGCGCCAGGCCAGTCCACGCCGGCCTCTCCCGGCAGGGGGCGCTGTGGGGAGTGGGGCAGGGTCCCTGGCTGTGGGGGAGCTCCCACTTACTCCAGTCCCACCTCTCCCAGCAGGGGGCGCTGTGGGGAGTGGGGCAGGGTCCCTGGCTGTGGGGGGGAGCTCCTGGCTACCCCGACCTCTCCCAGCAGGGGGCGCTGTAAGATGCGGGGGGGGGGGAAGGGAACATCCCCCCTGGGGAGGGGTAGCAGCTGCACAGGGAGGCCCTGGGGCCGGTTACTCACAAGAGGACCCCGTTTTCGAAGCAGATGTCGGTGAGTGTCCGGTCCACCAGCACCATCTCGGTGTCATAGATCTCCACGCCGAGCTGCAGCAGGCAGAACACGGCACAGCGGTGCAGGTCTGGGCAGGAGGGAACATGCCAGCGTCAGAGAGAACCCCACCCCCCTGCCGAGCCCTCCGCCAGGGCCCAGCCCCACCCCTCACACTCACCTCCCTTGTTTTTGAAATACTCCGTGTCCTTCCACATCAAGGGGATCCGGAGATCTGGGGAGGGAGGAGAGATGCCAGACAGCTGGGGGCGGCAACCAATGGGGGGAAGAGGCACAGAGTGCGCATGGGGTGGGTGCTGGGGGGCACAGGGCAGGTCTGAATCACAATACAGATTCGCTGGGCCTCTGAGTGACCCCCACCCCCCAGGCTGACCTAGGGGGCAGCTCCCCCCATCCCTGACTCTCAGCAGCTTCCTCCTCTTTCCCTGTCCTCTGCTGCTCTCCAGACCAAAGCTAAACGCCCCCCAGAGATGCTGCCTGCTTGGAATTCACCTTGCCCGACTCTCCCAGCTGGGCTGGAACTGACATTGCAACCCACCGTAGCTGGGTGCCCCTCTCCCGGTCTCCCAGGCAAGCTGGCACCCAAGGTGAGCAAGCACCCTAGAGCAGGGATGAGCAAACTGATGAGGGCAGGCAGAGAGTGGGCG